ACAGACACCCCTGCAAACACTCGTGATGTTTCAGCATCTGCATTATAGCACTGCTGCATGTCTGTGAGAACATTCTGCTAGTATCTTATCTGTCCTTTCTCCAGTTCAACTTTCACTCTCTCTTGCTCATCTTATCTCTCTGTTTTACATTTTCTAAGCATTCAACCTCCAACATCCAGGCTTTTAACATATGCCCTTACATCTCACCTTTCCAGCAGACCTTCACTTACTCCCTTTATTGCCCCTGTCCCTGAGCTGAGATTACGAGACCCCCTTTATCTCTCTCAGGTAAGTGGTGAAGTTGTTAGCACTCAAAGGTGTTGAGATGTGGGAGAGCTAGACCTACACACACAGGCATGCACGCACACACACACACACAGTTCTCCTTGACTGTCATTTCTCTTTGATAATAACAAGCCTTCTCCATCCAAAACTGAGGGGGTGGACCTTACGTAAGCACTGTCTCCTCCATCCCTCCCTCCTCTCTTTATCTGTCTGTCTCTATCCGTTCCTCTCCACATCTCCCCTTCCTCATTTACTCCCAAGAGGGCCTAAGGTTGCCATGGAAATGGCCCTGAATCACTATCCCTTGTTTTTTCCCCCGTTTTGCTTTGTGATTGTAGTTGTTGTTGATGATGATGGTGGTGTTTGTGGGATTTATTTATTTATTTATTTAATTTTTTTGCGGCGGGATAAATTGTTCATAATAACGTATTATTTCAACTAAACTCACAAAGGCACCTATCAAAGCTCAAAAAAGATACATCAATTTCTGTCAATATTGTAGCATCCTAAGAAGAAAACACACTGGAAACTAATTCTCAATTGTTCAACTGTATCAGTAAAACACTGTGCTGGAGAGAGCTAAGGCTGCGCCAGCTATAATTACAGCATGGCTCTCAGTAATAATGTGACATTAGACAGTAGGACAGAGCATAAGCAGCTTTTTTGATTATCCATGACTGCCATACCATTATCCCTACTGTACAAACACCTTTCTATGAAACTAGAGCTTGTACGATCATGACATGTTTGTTAATTATGATTAGAAATATACACTGCCCTCCAAAAGTTTGGAAACGCCTGAACAAAATAGGGTTTTTGGGCAATATCAGCATAAATCCTCTTTAGTTAGTGACCATTTTGCATTGATAATAAGGGACAACACAAACTATGAAAACATATTTTATTAAATAAAAAGTTTATGAACATAAACATGAACATAACAGAAAAATACTCAAATTTTGG